CGGACCGTGAGATCACGACCTGAGCCGAAGTCAGACGCTCAACCAACTGGGCCCCCCAGGCGCCCTTTTTATATCGTTATTTTTTAAGTTTGCACCCAAGTTAGTTCACGCACACACACGGAGATTTTTCATCGAAAGGCGAGCTGAGGTTTTGTCTCAAAATCACACGGGAGGGAAGACAGGGGCGCAGAGATGTGCAGGGAACCGATTGGGGGTGTCCTTTCGCTTGTCGGGGGCAAGAGACGGTCTCACCTCCCTGGACAGCCCCCGACGGTGAACAAGAGAGACACGGCTGCAAACACCCAGGAACTGCATCAGATTCGGGGCGGGGAGGGCGGGGGAGGTTTCTTGCAGACGCGAGGCGTGGGGGTGCAAACGGAAAAAGGGGGTCCTGTTTGTTGCACTGAGACATGTGTAAGAAACGGGGTGTCCGGGAGCGTTGATGGGCACGACCTTGGGGCAAAGCCACGCAAAGGGTTGAGCAACACATCCAGCTTCCGTGACTCAGGGACACAGCCTGCAGGTGAACGTGGCGATTCAAGGACCAATCAGGACTTGGCACACGGCTCGGCCGTGTTCCCAGGAGGCCCCCGGGGTGCCGAGTTCAGATTCTGTCCGCTCTGTGGGATGCCCTGGGGCCACAGGGGGCATCCGACCGTCCCCGGGGTCCGTCCGCAGGCTGGCCCGTCCCGACGTGGGGGCCCACGGCGCCACACCTCTGCCTGCTGAACCCACCTCCGGACACACCAGGAAGCCCACCAGGCTCCCCTCCAGGGTCCAGACAGGAGCCCCCACCCTCGGACTCACAGTGCAGACCCAGGTGATGCTGGGGAGGCCCGTGAACACGCACATGGCCCCCCATCGGCCCCCTTTGCTTTCTGGTGACTCTGCTGTATGACTCAGATCGGGCAGCCCGCACGGAGCGGGATCCAGAACAGACATTTATTGCTTCCTGGTCCTGGAGGCTGGGCGGCTGAGATCCAGGCAGGGCCGAGGCTGGGAGGCTGAGATCCAGGAGGGCCTTAGTCGGGGAATCTGACGTCCAGGAGGGGTTGAGCTTGGGTGTCTGAGATCCATGCAGGGCCGAGGCTGAGGGATCTAAGATCTGGGCGGGGCCGAGGCTGGGAGGCTGAGATCCAGGCAGGGCCGAGGCTGGGGGTCTAAGATCCAGGCAGAGGTGAGGTTGGGGGTCTGAGATCCATGCAGGGCCGAGGCTGGGGGTGTGAGATCCACGCGGGGCTGAGGCTGGTTCCTCCTGAGGCCTCTCTCCTCACCACGTAGACACCATGTCCCTGAGTCCTCACGTGGCCGTCCCTCTGTCTATGTCTGTGTGCTGACCTCTTCTTCTTTAAGGACCCCAGTCCTGAGGGACCAGGGCCACCCTCGTGACCTCATGTTCCCTTCGTCTCCTCTTTAAGGCACAACCGCCCAATACAGCCCCACTGAGGTCCTGTGGCTGAGGGTTTGAACTCGTGAATTTTAGGGGACGCTATCCAGCCCCCGAGACCCCCTCTCTTGGCGAAGGGACACGTCCACCCCCAGTGTTGTCAGACCCCCTTAGGCCGGGACCTCAGCTCCTGAGGCCGAAAATGACCTCTTCCCCCTCAAAGCCTTTTCTCGTCCTTGGGCCTCAAAAAGGGCGCTTTGGGACTTTATCGCTGGGCCCGGCTTCCCGTCTCTGTCGGCTCTGGGTTTCTCAAAGGGCCGCCCCTGGGGTTATGTGTTGATGGGGAGCCCGACTCCGCACAGGCCCTGCCCCGAGGGCTCACTTCGCCTCGTGGCCCGGACATGTGACTGTGCTTCCTTCCGTGCTGGCAAACGTTTCCACGATGACACCACGCCGTCTGGGTCCTGGGCCCCCAGAACCCCAAAAGGACCCCAGAGGCCCCGAGGGGCGTCAGTGGCATGGGAGGGCCACCCCCCAAAGGGAAGGTGGGATGACTTGAACCGAGAGGCAAGCGAGATCCAGGATGAGGCACAGACAGGCCCCCCTCCCCCCTCGGGCTGACCCAGGACAGGTGCTCCTTGAAGGGCACCAGAACGCGTCACCCCAAAGTTTCCCTCTTGGGCACAGGGGTGATTTGGAGGGACAGGCCACTGACAACCAGCAGAAGCAGGAAGTCGGGCGCCTAACCCACTGAGCCACCCAGGCGCCCCATAAATGGATGTTCTAATGGTGGAGATGTTTCCGTACGGGGAGAACTACACCCAGAGACGTCTCATCATGTGAGAGACTCTTATTAACAAGACAGACCTTAATGGCCATGAATTTCCTGCGTTTCCTGTTTTGCGTTTCCCCAGAGCTGTATGTCCCCATCAGAAAGTCCAGAACCCCTTTTCCCAAGCTGAATCTGACACGGCTTCTAAGCCCTGGTCGTCCATCTGTCTCCCTGAGCCGCATGTTTCTTTCTGAGACCCCGTGTGTATATATGTAGTTAAAACGGGTGTGTCTGCTAAACTTTCATCTGTTTAATTTGCGGCCATCAGGTACAGAACCTAAGAGGTTACCGGGAAAAGATTTTTTTCGTCTCAGCAGCAGGAATGTGGACGTGACCAGCAAGGGCCAGGGATGTGGCCAGGAGCTCATTAGCGGTGACACCCTTGGGGGGGAGGCAGCTGGGGATCTGACCTCTGACCTGGTGTCTCCTGTGAAGGTGGAGCTTTGCGGCTGGGATATGGCGGCCGTGCTGCATCTTGTGACCTTCCTGGTCGTCCTGAAGTCGGCGTGCTGTGCACAACCACGGCCGGGTAGGTAGAGGCAGGCACCCCGGGACGGGGTGGGATTGTCACTCCCCCCCCACCCCCGTGATGCCAAAGGGGACAGAAGTCCCTCCCCCAAGACCTAAAGCATCCCCCGGCCCCGAGACCGCCATGCTAGGGGAAGAATTTGCCTTTTGCAAATCGAACTACAGGTATTTATTCACGGGCAGAATCAGGGACCCAAGGGTGAAGATTCGATCCCTCAACACGTCCACCGGAAGGTGCCAGAGAGCATGTAGACATGTTCCCGCAGGTGGCCCAAGAAAACGGGGTGCCCAGGGGCATCTGGGGGGCTCAGCCGATCAAGCGTGTGACTCTGGAGTTCGGCTCGGGTCCCCCACGATCCCATCTCACAGATGCTGCAGATCCTGGGATTGGGTTGGAGTTGATGTTTGCACAGAGCCCGATGCGGGGCTCGAACTCACGAACTGTGAGATCAGGACCTGAGTCAAAGTCGGACGCCCAATCGACTGAGCCCCCCGGGCACCCCTTCTCTGTAGTTCTCACATGATTTTATGCATTTTTCAAATTATTGTCACTGTGGCTAATTATAAATTATTTTCTGTATTTTTCTGAAATTTTCAAATTGTCGTCACGATCGCTAACTTGTCTGTATGTTTCCAATGATCTTCTGTAGTTTTCAAACTATTTTCTATGTTTTTCTTTTCTTTTTATTTTTTTAAAGGATTTTATTTTTCAGTAATCTCTACCCCCTGCACAGGGCTCGAACTCACAACCTGGAGATCAATAGTTGTACCCTCCACCCACGGAGCCAGGCGGGTGCCTCTGTATTTTTCCGTATTTTTCAAATTATGACTGTAGACAACTCGTGTCTTTCAAATTATTTTCCGTAGTCTTCAAATTATTGCTCTACCCAATTTGTCTGTTTTTCTGATTATTTTCTGTATTTCCCAAATTATTATTAGTATAGCTTAGTTCACGGGCGAGAAGTGACATCCCTGTGGTTTGTTCGTTTTCTTAGTTTTTTTTTTTTCTTCAGCTCGTTCCTTTAAGAAAAAGTTTATGCGTTTATTTCTGAGAGAGAGACAGAGCGCAAGTGGGGGAGGGGCGGAGAGAAAGAATCCCGAGCAGGCTCCGTGCTGTCAGCGCAGAGCCTGATGCAGGGGTCGAACTCACGAACTGCGGAAATCGAGAGCCAGACGCTCAACCCACTGAGCCCCCCACACGCTCTGACCTTGTGGGTTTGATTTGCAACCTCCTCCCCACCCCCCCCACGAGTAAGGATTCTGAGCATCTTTTTGGTTTTTTTGCTTTTTTAATCACAGCGCAAGACAAAATATCCCCTATTATAAACATGCAGCTGGATTCAAGGAAAAAAATGTTAACCTGGACTTACACCAGAAACGTGAGTGACCAGGAATGCACAATAGATACGCCCACTGCCTATTCCGCCACGGTGAACCCACAGGTGAGTGTCCGGGGCTCATGCCTTGTGGCTTTGCGCCTTGTGAATCCGGAATTTTCCTGTGAGATGACTCTCGCGCCCCTGGCCTGCCTCGATTCCCACCCATGTTGCTTTTGTCCGGGAATAAAAAAACATTTCCTGTATCCTCTTAGGCTCTGGCGTAGGGATGTGCAAATTAAAATGACACGCGCCAGATTTTTCGGGAGAAAAGACGTACAGATTTGTTCCTATGGTAACTTTTTACATCCACGAAGGTTCAGAGGAAAGAAGGGAAACCCCAAGGAGCAGGGAGGTTTGGTACCAGTTTTTTAAGAGGGTGAGGAATTCTGAGGGAGAGGTGGGTTGTCAGAGGAATGGGCACTTCGGCTTCTGGGGCCAATAAGTTGTGGGGATGTGAGTGGGCAATTAGCGACAAGCCTAATGGCAGATGTGGGTTATTGTAATAAGCTCTGTATATACAGTGTCTTCTCGGTGCTGGCTCTCCGCATCAGGCGGGAAGGGTCACTGCCCTCGTTTTGGCCCAGGAGAAGGTGGGGGCGGGTCATGCCACCTTTGACACCTTTGGGGACATTTGCACTCTGCCTCCATATAGTGGGGATAAAATTTACACACTAAATCCCGTGTATGAAGGAGAATATAACAGCGGTCTTTTCTGCACCTGCCTTTACTTTGATTTCTCCCCTTTCATGAGGGGGAGGGGAAAAGATAGGGATTTGTCCCTTACGTGCATCCCACCCCCTTCACGTTAGAACAGTCCCGTCTGGATTCCGTCCCTGTCTTTGGTCTCTGTTCGTTCACTCATCGTATACTTCACACGCTTCCTCAGTTTCATTCTAAGGAGGTTGGGCAAGGAAAATTAGCCATTACACTCTTAGGTTCTGTCTCTGAGGGCTGTGAATTAACCTGATGAAGGATTACGATGAAGAGGTGAGAGGAAATGTATTTCTGTGCATATGGAGTTTACAAAAAGAGTAGCCCAATGAATAGGTAAAATTAGGGCCTTGTATACCTAACTGGTAGGGAAAAGGGAAGAGAAAGGCGCCTGGGGGGCTCAGTCGGTCGAGCATCAGACTTCAGCTCAGGTCATGATCTCATGATGCGTGGGTTCGAGCAGCCCCGCATCGGGCTCTGTGCTGACAGCTCGGAGCCTGCAGTTGCTTCGGATTCTGTGTGTGAGTGTCTCTCTCTACCCCTCCCCTGCTCATGCTCTGTCTCTCCCCGTCTCTCAAAAATAAATAAAACGTTGGAAAAAAATTTTAGTCAGATAAGAGAACCCCCTCCAAAATGTTTCTTTCTGCATATCTTGAATCCCAATGTCTTCACCTTAAAATGATTACGGGGTTCCCCAGGGGAGGGTCCCCACAGCGGTGGGGGTGCCCCGGACAGGGCTGTACCTGTCTGCCTGCCGAACGACGGTGCAGGTATGACTCCTGCCCAGGGCGTTTTCAACGACCCCGATCCCCTCCCTCCGTGGAGCGCAGTTTCCTCGGGAGGCCCCTCGGGATTGCTGACAGCTTGGAGCCTGGAGCCTGCTTCAGATTCTGTGTCTCCCTCTCACTCTGCCCCTCCCCCGCTCGCCCGTGCACTCTCTCTCTCTCTCTCTCAAAAATAAACATTTTTTAAAAAGTTATGAACTTGGAAAAAAGTAATAAAATAAATGTCAAGGTTATTAAATAAATATAAAAATTTATGATTATGAAAAATATAGATTAAAAAAACTGTGTTGGTCATTTCTGTGCATTTCATAGCATTCTTCTGATGGCTTGAAAAAAAATTTTTTTTTATTTTAACTGTTTGCTGTGGTGCAGGAAAGCCACTGATGTTATGGGCTCTGTGTCCACAGCTCCTTACCCTCTTTTATAAATTCACTGTCTTTGGGAAAGCATCCAGTTCTCCGAATTTTGTCCTGTTCAGAAAGAATGCTAATGTGGCTCTTTCCTCTAGAACCGTGTGGACTTTGTGTTTCCATTTCAATTTTCATTGTGAATTCAAGAAAACAGTTCAAAAATTCATTTTTTTAAATTTTTTTAATGTTTATTTTTGAGACAGAGAGAGA